GAGGTAGGAGGGGAGTAGGTCGGTCAAGAGGGGGTCGTCAATCCCGACTTAAACATGACACGAGTAGTCCTCCTTTAGTGAATCCTTCAGCTCCCAGATTGAGCTCCTCTCCTGAACTAGTCCCGCTGTCGTATATACTGCCATCCTCTAGGGTGGTCTCGGGTACGAGGTCTATTTTGGATTGGATTCCTCCTCTTGACTTGAGCGCTAGCTCTTCCAGCCTTTCCTCGACCGAGCTAGGTTTTCCTATGTCGGTCAACCCTTCCTTCCCAAATGATCGTGCATCGAGTAGGGTCTCATTTGTTGATCTTGTCAGTAGTTCGGATAGCTCCATTCCTCCTTCTTGGAGTCCGTCTTCGTTGCAATCCGACGTTGGTAATCCAAGGTCGGATGTGGTTGATATGTGTACTGACCTTTGTCCTTCGTATTCCAGGGATATAGCCATGGACGGGTCCGACGTTCAAGATTGGGTCCTTTTCGAGGTTCTCCAAAAACGGTCCACAATGTCTTCTGCCGAGGTGGCCCAGCTCCCAGCGGGAGATCCCAATGGGGTTGATCTTCTCCCACCCGGCGACTTTCCAGTATGCTCAGGTCTCATATTGGACGAGCCCCATTTCTTCTATTTTTAGAGGGATCTCATTACCAAATTGGGTATCCGGTTTCCTTTTACAGACTTTCAGATGTCGGTTCTCCGACGTCTTAGGGTTTCACCCTCGCAACTTCACCCGAATTCATGGGCTTTCGTTCGGGGTTTTGAGCAGGTGTGTGCCTACCTGTACCTCCCCTGCACTGTTACTCTCTTTTTCTTCTTCTTTGATGTGTATACTTTCCGTACTGGCGCCGAGTCTAAGGAGAAGAAAGGGTGGGTTACCTTACGAGGTACCCCAGGCAGGGGGATTTTTATTCCTTACTCCCAATCTTTCAAGGGCTTCAAGGATGCCTACTTTAAGGTGGTATCCCATTCCGAGTCCCTTCCTTGGTTTGCCGAGAGTTGGCTTGACGACGGCGGCATATCATTTCGGTTTGAATTATACTGGACGCGGAAACATTATCAAAGGCGTCCAAAAGATTATGATATCCCCTTAACTGCACTTTCCAGCTCGAAACTTCTGGCAGTCCGAGTTCTTATTGAATATACCGATGAGTTTGGCGCTTTTGACTTGAGTCGGATTGTAGATAAGTTTGGGGAGGATCCCATTTATGAGCTTGGTATGTAGCTGACACGAGCTGTCGAACTCGCGCAAATTAAAAATTAATTCTTTAGGATTCAGAAAATTTGTAGTAAAGTGGAAACCCTAAGTCGTCTCTCTCAAGGAAATTGCTTGGGTAAAAATCGTTTATCAAAACAAAAATTAAAAGGGGGGTTTTTGGATTTTGGTTGTATAATTAAAAAGGCAGAATATGAAATTGGATTTAAAATTCGTAATTAAAAATAACCAACCTAAGGTTCGGGATCCATGGACGTCTTTCCTCGGATAAGAAGATATCAGAATCATGATTGATTCGTCAGTCGGATCAGAATCCTTATTTCCAATATACAACTCTCTCTAAGAGATCGCTTAGCATTTGATCAAAGACGATGCTTCTACTCATACAATCGTAGAGTATCAGCCCGCTTGATTTAAGGTCATAGGGTCAATCAACCTAATCATCAAATCTGATGATTAATCCCTTTCCATAATCGCAATCGCGAACCTCAGATTGAATATCCACGATCGCACGATATCAATCTGAGTTTGGAAGGAAAACGAAAACTGATTTGAAATAAACGCAGACCCTCAAGATTAATCCATGGAATCCATTACCCTTAGGTTGATTAAAAAGTTCTTAGCCTCGCATGGCTAAGGTAAACATGATTAAAATAAAAAGAAGAGGAAGAAAAAGATGAAGAACAAAATTGAATAAAAACTCATAGAGAACTTTTCTGTTGTAAAAAACTGACTGCTGAAGGGTTTCCTAAAGTCTCCCTTAAATAGTCGTCACGCAGAACGGCTAGGGTTTTACCGCTTCAGCCCAAACATAAAATAAAAGCTGAATAAAATAAAATAAAACAATAAAACATGGCCTTGGGCCCTAAACACATTGGGTCCTAATGTGAATTGCAAGTTCAAACGTCAAAATAAAATTCCAGCAAAACATTTCATCTTGAGATCAAGTTTCTACCATCTTTTCGTCCGAATTGGGCTTCAGTAGCTGAAATAGAGATTGTAGCCCTATCTGTTAGCTGCAAAAGGCAACAAGAACAGAGTCAATCGGACATCTGTAGAGTGAGATATGATCAAAATACAGAAGTAGTGTAAATCTGGAAAATTATGACGAAAATCAATTAAACCCAACTAAAATCTAGAATTGTGAATTGACCCAAAAGACCTTTATTTAATTCAAATAAATCATAAAAATACCAACCAAGAGTAATAAATAAGTGTAACAAAATATGAGTTATCAGTAGCTCATTTTGTTTTTAATTGTAGATAACCTTGTCTTGCGGATTTATAACCTACATTCTGACTTTGCTTTTCCTTTTGCAGTCAGCATGACCTCTGCTGAATACATGAAGTTTTTGCCCAAAAAGAGCGGAAAGGGGAAGTCGAAAGAAACTGCCCCTCTCGAGTCGGAGGCTTCGAAGAAGAGGCAGATAGACTCCATAATCGGCGGGAGCTCGGTCAGCGCCGGAGTGACCATGGTTGGTGCCCAGACTCCTCCTTTGTCACCACTTTCAGTTCCTCCTACCGCTCCTCAAGGGAATTTGATCACCCTTGAGCCCGGGGAATTACGGAGAACAGGGGTTTCAGACCGTCTTAGGGCTGTATTAAAGCCTCCTCCTGGGCTCATTGGAGGTTCGGGCTTGACCTCTACTGTGAGGGCCAGACTGGCACGGATGGAGGAGGATTCTTTGAAGACGATCTCGTTGCTTCAAACCTTTCAGGATCTCAATCAGAGCCTCGACTTGTCTATTGCTTCTAACTCATCTCTCACTACCAAGGTGGAGGAGCTGAGCAGGTCTAAGTCAACTTTGGAGGTCAGAATTCAAGAGTTGTCCTCAGAGTTAGATAAGGCTAAGAAGGACTTGGAGGTGGTTACCGCCAAGGCTAATGACTTGAGTGCCGAGAAGGAGTCCTTCTCGGAGTCTATTGCTGAAAGGGATGCCCGACTTTCAGATCTGCAGGCCGACTTTGAAGAGGCTAAAGTCGTGGTTGCTAGGGCCGCTATTCAAGCTTTTGACAATGCTATTGCTCAGGCTCAGGTTTTGAATCCCGGCATGGTGGTGGATGGCATGGACGTTGCTTATGAGGTTAAGGACAGAATCATAGTCCCTGGAACCCCTGATGCCGAGTCCATTGATGGGGGGGATGTCGGATCCGAATTTCTTGTCGCTTCATCTCCTGCTGAAGAATGAAGGGGGTCAGAATACCGACCTTCTTATGTTATTTTGATTACGGGGTCTTTGAGCCCCCCCTTTTTTTTGTTATATTGTCATGACATGATTGCCGCTTTGGGTCGGCTTTTTGAATCTTATGTCTTTAATTTCATTTTGCCGAGATCGTTGCTTCTTTTTTACTTATAGTTTGAAACTATTTCGATCTTGTCGCAGTCGACTTATAATTCGTCGAGTTTTAGCCGACCTAGGATTATTCTTTTGTTCGTCAACAAAATTGTTATTCCTTTTCGGCCATGAAGCTCCTGTGGCTTCAATTACTTGCGTGGAAATCGATATGCATAGATAACAGAAATTAAGTAACTGTTCTTTTTATTGCGTTTCAACGAAATCTCTTTACAAGGGCTGAGCTTAAAAGCTCGTTTTATTTGCTTGGAAATAAATCTACCTACTTACTGAGCTTGATAGCTTGCCTTATTTGCGTAGAAATCACTACAAGAAAAAATCTTATCAGTGACAAAATTTTATGAAATTTCGTCACTCATTCTTACGTCACAAGTAAATTTCGTCACAAATTCCTGTGTCGCAAATGTATTTGTGACGAAATTTGATTATTTGTGTCAAAAATTATCATTTGTGACAATATTTGTGACGAAAAAATTTCGTCACAAATAAACTTTTTTCTTGTTGTGAATAATTCTAACTATTGACCGAGCTTAAGAGCTCATCTTCCTATTTCGAACTTCGAACATGAGACCTAGCTATAGTAGACCTTCAACTTGTCCGCGTTCCAAGTCCTCTTTACTGGTTTCTTGGAGATAGTCTCCAAGGTGTAGGCTCTCTTTCCCAAATTATCTTTGATCTTATAGGGACCTTCCCAGTTTGCGGCGAGCTTTCCATCTCTTGCATTTTTGTTGCCGATGTCTGCTCTACGTAGGACTAAGTCGCCGCTCTGAAACGACCGAGGTCGTACTTTTTTATTGAATCTGGCCGTAACCAAACGCTTGGCCATCATATTCTTATATCTGGCGTTCTCCCTGCATTCGTCCAGTAGGTCGAGTTCCACAAGGAGTGCTTCCTTGTTTTGGCTTTCGGTTCCTTGTAACCTCTGCACCCTCTTCCAGGACGGCTCACCGATTTCCACCGGAATCATGGCCTCGCACCCATATGTCAGCTTGAAGGGGGTTTCTTCCGTGGCAGATTGGGCACTTGTCCTGTAACCCCATAGGACGAGGTGTAGTTGCTGAACCCAATTGCCTTTGGCTTCAAAAAGCCTTTTCTTCAACCCGTTGATGATCACCTTGTTGGCAGACTCGGCTTGTCCGTTAGTCTGAGGGTGCTCAACTGACGCAAACCGATGTGTGATTTTGAGGTCGGACATCAACTCTCGGAACTTTTTGTCAGCAAACTGTGTTCTGTTATCTGTGATTATCTCGGCAGGAAGCCCAAATTGGCTGATGAGGTTTCTTTCAAAGAATCTCCGTATCCTTGCCGAGGTAATGGTGGTGAGGGGTTCGGCCTCGATCCACTTGGTGAAGTAGTCGACAACCACTATCAACCACTTGAGTTGACCTTCAGCTGTAGTAAAAGGTCCCAGTAGGTCCATCCCCCATTTGAAGAATGGTCATGGAGCCGTGATAGTTTGCAGCTCTTCTGGGGGTGCACGAAGGATCTGCGCATGCTTTTGACATTGTTCGCACTTTTTGACATGCTCCTTCGCGTCCGCCTCCATAGTTGGCCAATAGTATCCTGCCTTCAGTGCCTTTCTGGCCAAGGCTTTTCCTCCCATGTGATGCCCGTTTATGCCCTCATGAATCTCGGGCAGCACGTATTCAACCTCATTCTTACCTAGGCACTTCAGCATGGGTGTGTAGAAACCCTTCTTGTAGAGTTGCCCCTCTGTTATGGTGAAACAGTCCGAATTCCTCACGAGTTTTCTGGCCTCTTGCGTTTCGTCTGGCAGGATTCCTTTTTCCAAGTAGGCTACTATGGGCCTTCTCCAATCCTCAGTCTCGGTTATCACCATCACACACGTCGACTCCAAGATGCTCTGTTGTATCACAGTGCGATGATTTCCTGGGCCTTTTGAGCTGGCAAGTTTGGATAAGATGTTGGCCCTGTTATTCTCGTTCCGAGGTATGTATTGGATTATCACCTCGTCAAACTCGGCTAGCAGCTCCTTAACCTGGTGGAGGTACTTCATCATAAGAGGACCCTTGGCTTGATATTTTCCCTCAACTTGTGAGGTAACTAGCTGCGAATCACTCATAATTTTTATTTTTCTGGCCCTATGCTCTTTTGCTTGCACGATCCCAGCAATAAATGCCTCGTATTCAGCTTGGTTATTAGAAGTCGGGAAGGCCAGGTGAAGTGAATGCTCAATGGACACTCCTTCCGGGGTCTCAATGATCACCCCGGCTCCGCTCCCCTTGGAGTTGGACGATCCATCTACATGTATTGTCCAGAGATCTTCGTTCCCTTTTCCCTTTTCATTGGATGGGGTTAGCTCCAAGATGAAGTCGGCTAGCGCTTGAGACTTTATCGCCTTCCTGGGCTCATACGCAATGTCGAACTCAGAGAGTTCGACTGCCCAATTTATCATTCTGCCAGCGAGGTCCGGCTTGTGGAGGACTTGTCTGATGGGCTGATTCGTTCGCACAATAACTCGGTGACTCTGGAAGTAAGGTCGGAGCCTCATTGCCGTGGTAAGCAGTGCGAATGCGACTTTCTCGAGCTTCTGATAACGAAGCTCAGGCCCTTGCAAGGTTCAACCTATAAAGTAGATCGGCTGCTGTGATTTGTCAGTCTCCCGTACCAGGGCGGCACTGACGGCCTCTTCCCCAACTAATAAGTACAAGATCAGCGTTTCTCCGGGCTCTGGTTTGGACAGTACAGGAGGAGTGGCCAGGCAGTTCTTAATATTTTCGAATGCGTTTTTGCATTCTTCTCCCCGTCTGAACTCGGTTTCCTTTTTGAGGAGCTTGAAGAAAGGCAAAGCCTTTTCTGCCGACCTAGGCAAGAATCTGGTCAGGGCCGCAAGACGTCCTGTGAGCTGTTGAATTTCTTTCTTGCTTTTGGGATGCTTCATTTCAAGCACGACCCTGCACTTGTCGGGGTTCACTTCTATTCCTCGGTTGGTAAGCATGAAGTCCAGGAACTTTCCAGCTGGTACCCCAAAAGCGCATTTCGCTGGGTTCAGCCTGATCCTGTGAGCTCTCAACTGCTCAAAATTTTCCCTGAGGTCATTTATATGTGCTGATATTTGCAACGACTTGACAATCATGTCGTCGATGTATACCTCTAGGTTTCTTCCAATCTGCCCTTGAAAAACGCGGTTCATCATCCGCTGATATGTCGCCCCTGCATTTTTTAGGCCAAAAGGCATGACTTTGTAACAAAAATTGCCCTTCTCAGTGATGAAGGCGGTTTTTTCATGGTCGTCGGGGTGTAGTGGAATTTCGTTGTACCCAGAGTACGCGTCCATAAACGATAGTAGCTGAAATCCTGACGAATTGTAAACTAGCTGGTCAATGCTCGGCATGGGGTATGAGTCTTTTGGGCAGCCCTTATTGAGGTCGGTGTAGTCCACGCATATCCTCCATTTCCCGCTTGGTTTTTTTACCATCACCACGTTAGACAGCCAAGTGGTATACTGTATTTCCCTAACGAATCTGGCTGCTAGCAGCTCGTCGACGTGCTCATTCAAAGCATGACGTCGGTCGGATCCTATCTTCCTCTTCTTTTGGGATACTGGCCGTGAACCGGGGTACATGGAGAGTTTGTGGCAGCATAATATTGGGTCTATTCCAGGGATTTCTGAAGCTTTCCAAGCAAATACATCGCGGTTTTCCTTTAACAAAGAAACCAGCTCCTCTTTGAAGTCAGTTTTTAGGTCTTTTCCCACCATGGTGTGCCCTTTGCCGTTTTCCGCAATATCGGCATCCTCCAACTCTCCTTGGGGTTCTGGACGAGGTGCCAAGAGCTCCTCTCTTACGTCGAGTTCAACCAAGTTGACCTCTCTTCCGCATGTCTTCAATGATTGGTCCTTAGCTCCTCCTTCTTTAAGCCGAGTTGGAGATGATGGACCTCCATGATGGACTCGTAGAGTCTCGTAGTAGCACTTTCTTGATTCTTCTTGATCACCTCTTATGGTGACGATCTCGTTATTCATCCCAGGCATTTTCAATGCTTGATGTTTTGTGGAGATCAGCATATCCCATTCATGGATTGTGGGCCGACCAATGATCACGTTGTAGGAAGACGAGGTATCCACCACAACGAAACGAACCTTTTTGAGTGTGTAGTTTTCTACATATGTAAATCAACATTGTAATGCTTATGGTGTCATCTTTGTCAACCTTATGTAGATCATGTTAGGTGTGTGAAAAATAGAGCTGTGGATGAATCAAGAAGATATCAGGATTCAGGACAACTGGTCCTGTGGAAAAGATTGTGAAAAGGTACATTAAATCCTCTTCCCTTCTTTTTTTCTAGTTTTAAGAAAATTTTAGTCATATTTTGCATGAAAAAATTAGCAGTTCCTTTTTGTTTACTTCCAGGATTTTCTTTTTCTTTTTTTATTTATTCTGCTTTTACTTTCATTCGAAGTATTATTTTACTGCTTGTTTATTGAAACAAAATTGTATCTATTGTCAATAGTATACTTCTGCATATGGATTCTGGTCAACAGTTATTCATGTGATTTCGTGGAATTTGAGGCTTTATTTTGGTGATGTTACATTTTATGACTTGACACGCAAATGGGGTTTATGTTTAATGTCAGAGAAGCATTTAAGGCTGTCTGTCTTTGATATATACTGCTATAAAAGGCTTTTTACAACACCAGTTACACTCTACACTCAACAAACTGTTAGGAGAGCCAGTGACAGTGGGTTTAGGCAATCTAACTTGGATACTAGTGAAGTTCAGCAACTCTGAGAGTTTTGATCTTGGCAGTGCTAAAAGTGACTTATTAGCACAAAGTTACAGCAAATTCAATGTTGCTCTCATGAATGTTTGGAGCCCCTAAAGGAACCTTTCTCTACCAGAGATCTCATGAAAGATGTTATATTCAGCAGATGGTAAGAAATTCTTATCCTACAAGATATGGTTATAATGTTTATTATAATTCTTACCCAATTAATGTCTTGATTTGTTACTAGTGTTGTCAAAATTGATTCCGAAATTAATAGCTAATGGATTCTAATTAAATACTGATTACCTGGCTGTCACCATAAAAAAAATTCATACAAACTATAATTTGATTCTAGTATTTAATTGATTATAAAGGGCTTGTTTCTACTCCAAGATACAGATATATTATTATTATTATTATTATTATTATTATTATTATTATTATTACAAGATATATCTGTTCTAAAGATACAGTATGAAACTTTAATTATGAATAGAAAAACAACAATATAATAGGATGACAGTTTTTATTTTTAGTAACAATATGGAAAGCTTTACAATATTTGAAATTGTTCTTAATTACATTTTTCAATTTCTTGTTTTATATAAAATTACTTACGAAGTATAATATTTTAGGGAGACTCATTTAATAATTTTTATTTTAACGAGCATCATTAACAATTAATGATTAATATTTGAAGATAAATGTCCCATTTATATAAGAGAAATATACAAAATAACTTATGTATTTATATTTTAAATAAGTACAGACATGAACAAATATTAACTAGTAATATTAGGAAGATATTGTATAAAAAATATATATTAGGAAGATACATATGGAATTTGGATATTTTATTTATAAAGAAATAATTTTAATTATATACTTTGCATGATTTTTAGATTATTGTTGTGCTGATTTCTTTTTTATTTTCCGGTATAGATCATTTGGTATCTAGTCACTCAAGGTTCTGACAAAACTATTTCAAACCAGATAGGATAACAACGGCAACAAAATTCTGCTTACCAAATTTTATCACAATTAAATATTGAACTCGAGGTTAAGGATTAAGCTGTAACAATTTCGCGCAAATTGATCCGCGTACATTGTGGTTGTTGTGCATATCTTAATTGAGTCTATCACGTAATCCATATTCAATGTTATTAAATTTTGTCTTTCTCTGTTATTCAGTATTTTTTATATTCTTTTATCTCTTAATCAAAATTATCACTAATTTACGAGGAAGGTTATACTTACAACTTTTTTTTTTACAACCTCTTACAACCATATCTTAACACCGTTGATTTCCGCCAATCAACGGTTATCATTTATTATGAATTAATAATTAATTAATAAGTTTAATTTACAAAAATCGTAACCGTTGATTCATTCCAATAATAAGGCCTCATGGTGGCACTTAAGGGTGTAAATGAGCTGTGCTAGGTTAGACTTTTGCTTAAATAGGCCAAACTTGTGTAAAATATCCTAGTTTTGATCTAGTACCTGTTTGGATCCTCTTATTTTTAAGCTAGAAGCTACTTATAAGCATAAACTAGGCCAAACAGATTTTGGAAAAAACTTTTATAACGAAAAACTCTTTTTTTTATAATGAAGAAAAAAGCTGAAAATTAAAAGCTCCTAGGAGGAGCTTTTTTTTAAGCTCTTATCTGTTTTTCTTGAATTGTGTGCTTTTTTTTTAAATGAAGAGTGATAAAGATAGAGAGAAAGATAATTTTCTTGAAATATGTGCTTTTAAGTAATTTTCAAGCTAAAACTTTTATGTAATTTTCAAACAGCTTTTAGCTTATTTTTTAAGCTTTTTTTTTAGCTTTAGCTTATAAGTAACTTCTAGCTTAAAAATAAGAGAATTCAAACAGGCTAGTCTGTTATCCTTGTGTAAGTCAAAATTATAAGTCTGACTTAGTCTATATTAAAAAAAAAAGGCTTGGACTAGGCCTATTAGTTTGTTTAAGTCTATTAGGTATTCAATAATTAAAATAATATTACTTTATTATTCAAAATTATTAAAATAAAAATTTTATTTAAAATAAATGATATGTAAGTTTATTAGCCAGATTTTGTAAAAAAAATAAAAAATAAAACTCATGACTTGCTTTTTAAAAAGAGGCTTTTAAAAATTTGAACCTATTCTATCTTACTAGATGTAATAGACCAAATTTGACCTAAGCTAGATCTAATAGGCCATGATAAGCTGTTTAGCCGTTTCAACTCAAACTCAATTTCCTTTCCCCGCTCTCTCGGTTTCTTTCTCTCTAGATAACTCAAATCTCTCCTCTCTTTTCTTTTTCATCGTTTTCGTTCTTTCTCATCGTTATCTTAGGCATTGACGATCGATCATCATGAACTTGAATACTACTGATCATGTGGACTGGGACGCTGATAAAATGTGGGTTCAATCGTTTTTTTTTTTTTTTCTTCTAATTCGTTCACTGATTTTTTTTATATATATATATGTATATTTGTTTTATTGCTTAATTTTGATTTTGGGTTCTGCATAGGCTTCAATTATATATGCATGATTATATGATCAGAAGGGGAATGCACAAGGCCGCTGAGATTTTCAAGAATGAAGCCCAACTTCCTAACAATGTCGCTTGTAATATCTCAATTTGAATCTATTTCTTTATTGCTCATATCTGACACACATACGTTGAAAGTTTTGCTATTTCAATTTTATTTTATTGATTTGTTGTATTAAAATCGTGTGGTTGATTGGCATGCCCTGAGAATGTTATATAATTCATTGCATAACGAAATCAGCA